TGACAGAGCCCAATGAAAGCCACTGGGACCTATCCAAGTACTGCCCACACCCTAGCCCAAAATTTACCTCCTTACATTCCCAACCTTCTCCCATGACAATCATTCTCCCCACTTCCCTCTCTCATGACAAGCAGAGACAGACATGGAACAAAACTAATAGCAGCTGAGAGTTCCGCTGAGCTCGGACCATTTGGAGAATGAAGGGAAGAAGAAGGGGCTTCACACTCACCTGGTTCCCCAGATGAAGAAGGCGAGAAAAGTGGATGAGGCTGCAAGGGGCTGGGCTGACTTTTATAATGGACCCAAGCTGCCCCATTTCCAGAGGCGTCCCTAGAAGCAGTGATTATTTTGTGACAAGGACCTCTTGAATGCAAAACATCCCAGCTAATGTTATGGGTTGTGTTTTGGTTTACTGAGCTGCTACTTGTCACATCCTGATTTATGTCACTCTCATTGCTCACGAATGGCATCTTTTGAGCAGCAGGAAGAAAAACCCAAGTGTTCCCGGTCAACACACATCAGCGTGGGCAGAACACTCCGTTCACCTGCTGGAAGAATCTAGCAACGGCAAAAGATATCAGCATGCTGAGTAGGGCACTGGTGTGAGATAAATAGAGCCTGTGTGCTGGATTTATGCAAGTGCCTGTGGGTATAGAGGTTTGCATGATTCCATGCATGTGTGCATGAGCAGGTGAATGTTTGTGTGACTTGTGTGTCCCGCATAACAACACGTGTTCTGGTCAGATCAGGGGCACTTCAGGATACCAATAGATTCTGTTAGTCTCTTTCTTCCTGCTAACAGAGCTATTGGAGAGGAGAGGAAGTGGAAGGCACCTTCAAATATCATTAGGTGCAATTGTCTGACCCCGATAGCACTAACCACAAGGAAAAGCATATTAATGAAAGCATTATCAAAATGTCTGTCAACACGGACAGGCGTGGGTTATCATCCACATCTCCACAAAGCCTGATCCAGTGTTTGACCACCTTCACTTACATCTATTTTTTTTCCTCGTTATACAAGTGGTGGCCATATTGTTCAGCTTGCCGGTGCACCCTGAGGGATACTCTGGAGTTTGTTGAGATAATAGGAAGAATCTGAGTCCTTGCACAAAGTAGATTACAATAATATACCTAAGTTCTTGAATTGAGTAGAGATGGGAAGTTCTACTTTGATTCAGCTAATCTTGTGGAATCAAGAACTGTGTGATCAAGGCAATGAGCTAACTGAGCATTGGTGAAGACGGGGTTCATGCAGTGAACACAGTGAGGAAGAGTACTGACTATATCCACATGGTTGTGGGGCCACATCACAAAAATGCTGAACATGTGCGACGAGGCAGAACCCTATGCTAATGATTTTGTGGGGAAGTACGGAATACCTATGTTCTCTACGGGAAAACGTTTGCGTATGTAAGGACGGCCTGCTTTCTAACACTCCAAGTTGAGTCTAGAGTGTTTCACGACCGACTGATTTACAGTATCACTTCTATCTGGCCTGAACGTCTCCTGGTGCAGTTTTGTGCCATCCCCCCACATGCCCGCTCATCAGTTACCAAAGTGAAAAGACCAGCACCTCCCTCTCTGCTTTCCTTCCTAGGAAGTTGTAGAGAGCAGTGAGACTGCCTCTTAGCTTTGTGTACTCCAAGCTGGACAACCCACGTGTCCTCACGCTCTCCTCACAGGATATGCATTCCAGACCCTCCATCAGCTCTGCTGCCCTCCTCTGCACGCTTTAAAGCACCTTGAACATCCTTCATACTTTGTTGAACCCAGAACAGCCAAATAGATTCCAGGTTAAAATACACCAAGGCTAGCTGTATTGGGAGAATAATCCTTTTTCAACCAGGTGTTTATGGAGTGTGTAATGCATTCTACACTTCAGTTGGACCTCTCGGGTGCCAGGGCACAATGTTGGATCTTCTTGAGTCTGATGTCAAGCCAGCACACCCGGATCCCTTCAGGATGTCTATGCTTCTCGGGTGCTCAACTGTACTTCAAGGGTGTCCTCACTCTAAGACTAGAGCCTCAACAGTACAAAGGAAGAAAGGAACAGCATGTGGTGGCCATGGCAAACAGGCCATGGAACGAAGCGGTCAGGTTGCGGCTGGAAGATAGTGATATCCTGGAAGAAGAAAAACACTCTTGCTTTAGTCACAGACTCGCAGCTTCAGAAGAGGCACAGCCCTCTGGACACTGGGGAGACCACATCCATTGTGAGGGCTCATCACAAGTGGCTGAACTCAAGCCTTAGAAGTGGAGGCAGGAGAAAAGTGGTGTGAGAGAGACTTAAAGGAGACTCCTCCCTTTGATAGCGGATTCTCCAGTTTGCTGAAGTCCTGGCTGTTTGATTTCCTTGGCAAGGAATGGCAACTCCAGTGCTGCAGAAGGACTCCAAACGTTTGTCTGCATATCAGTGTACATGCGTTCCTTTACAACTCTTCCACACAATTCTGCTTCCAGACACTGGTGACTTTAGCCATCCCAATAAATGCTGGATGAGCAGTATGGCTGGACATCAGGAATTCTGGAGATTTCTGAATTCAGAAAGAGGCAGTCTAAGTGTGAGCAACCCAGAGACATTGCTGCCCATGCAGAGATAGAGTCAGAAGCACCACAGGTCAGCCTGAGATGAAAACTTGCTGCGAAGAACAGCCAGAAAAGCATCCTAAGCTCACCCGTGGCAGCAAAAAGGAAGCTAAGGAAATCGTATGTCCACTGGACCATGAGATGCCAGAAACAGGGAGAAGTGAATGTGTAATATAATGAATGCTTCTTTT